TGGATTATTATTGTTGTTGATGTTCATGCTATTATAACCATCATTGAACTTTCTGTTTATGTTTTTCGTTTACCATCGAAGCTACGTGCAATTGTATTTGTCGATATATTAATGAGATGTTTTTGGAAAATTGATTCTCCAAAATATTGACGAAAATGTTGATCGAAGCTTGTTTATTAAATTATGAACAGTTTAAATTTGGATTGAATGAAGAGGAAACGATGATGTGTCAAAGACAGAATGTCTAAGAAGAATATTAAGAATATAAGATATATTTATTTTATGGAATTTACAAGTATTTGTATATACATAAAGGATTGTATTTTAATACGAATTTAGAAAAAAAATATACATTTTATATATTTTAGTGCAATGATTAACCTATTTGAGAAAAATATCTTTACTCATTTGCAGTAATATAAAATAGTTAAAATAGTTAAAATTATAAAGAAGGAAGAAGTTTATGCAAATTTTAATTCAATTTATTTCAGAGGAAGATAATTTTCCAAGCATCGTTAAAACTTTATATAATTAAAATATGTGTACTAAACTTAAAGAAGAAGTATCGAAGATTATATTACAACTTTTATAAGATACAAGATATAACCATTAAGATTATACCTACAAAATTTGAAATTAATGGAATAATGTTTATAGAAATTACAAAACATTTATCACAAAAATGTAATTAATGTTTAAACGAGTTTTCTTTAAATCTCAATTACAACTTTAAAATATTATTGCTCATAAAATTCTTCTATCTTTTGAGGTTACGTCACACTTTTGTAATCTTCCTCTCCAAATCGAATCAAATCTATCGACGCATCTTTATAAAACGCTTTAGAAAGTTCAGATTCAAAGCATAACTATAACGTACGGCACGTTTGCTTAACAATTTATCGAGAAATCGAGTCTACAGACCGCGTATGCTTCGTGTTACAGAGGAGCACAGAGGGCTCTGTTCCTCACTGATAACGGTGTTTGGGAGGCTCGAAGGAAAAGGTTATAGCCACCCTTAGATATAATTTTCCACCGTTTTGCACGGTTCATAATTGATTCTCCATAGTTTCTATCTATTATCCTCCTCCATCTCTCTTTCTCTTTCTCGGTTCTCTTTCTTTTTCTTTCTTTACGTATTAACCTCGAAATACGGATGAGTAATCGAAGAAATTACGAAACGTGACACGATCTCATGAAAATTCTGGGAATGACGGCTCGCTCGATTGCCGGTTCTTCCTCCGTTTCATCTCGATTTTCATTTTCCTCGAGACATTTACATAACCGACAACGTCATCCACAGGAAGAAAATAGCCTACCGTCTGGTGTTAAGCACGCCGGCCAGAAGTGGCATTCACGAACAACTTCCGATTCGGCTCTCTTTTCGCGCAATCTCCGTCTCACGATTGAAGAAGATCGTAATTTTTCTCGCAATCGAGGCTCTCGTGGAAAAACGGAAAATCATTGTTTCATTTGAAGAAATATTCTTGAAGAAATGAAATTGAAGTACTTAGTGTATTTCGTGGTAAATTAATTTGATCTTCGAACGCCATTGATGGTCCATCATTTAATAAAATAGAGTTTATCATTCATATCATGATAGTAAATTATTATTACCGTAATAAGAAGAATGTTTTGGAAATAATTGATGATTTTCGAAAGGTGATTTGAAGCAAGCTTTTTTCTTTGCAAAGATGTTTATTTGGACGAGTTTATCAATGAAAAACACTGACCAATTACAAAACTCGTAGTGTCGGATGTCAGTGAGTCAGATTTGAACAAACAAACATGAACATGTAATATTAAATTGCATATGAAATGATTAATTTTCCAACTGTTTAAAATCATTCAAAATTTAACGAATAAATTAAACAACACTCGTACATTTGGGCGCCGATTTAATGCTCGAAGTTAATCGAACATGACTCGTATCGTATTTCATTTTAAAAAGGATTTTGTAATTGTATATGTGAAAAAAACTTTATGTCTGATATAATAACATTTTTCACAGACTCGTAAATGTAATTTACATCATCCAGCCTTAAGTGAAAACGTTCGTTATCGATACTATACGACACTGTTAGCTACGAAATTACAAAGTTTCTTAAAACCAAAGTCGACGTTCCGCGTAAAAAACACACATACCAGCTCGCTGGATACCGAAGTTTAATATTAGTAAGAGGAAAAAGGAGATCGGGGTGGAAAAAAGGCAGGTGGTCCCGTGTAGAAAATTGGACGCAGTCCAGAGAAAACGCTGAACAAGGGAAAATGGTAACGCAATATACAATATAATGAATGGAACACTCAGTGCATCGTTAACTACTATTTCTGACACGAATATATCTTCCCCACGAACACGTTAATAGAACTGTTGATTGATAATTCTCCGTATAATGGATAAAAATATGATTAATTTCGAATAAAATATTTTTGAATCGGTATTTTCCTATAGAAGAAAAATTCTTACGATTGAATAACCTGGAAAGAGATTTTATTCTCTGTTGGAATAAATTTATCAGAATGGAAACGTACACGAACAAAACATCGTCGACAATTTGAAAATTTCTGCCGATTTAACAGCCGATGAGAATTTAATTGTAACGAGAAGACCGTTTCGTTTCAAAGTTGAGGCACAAAGAAATTGTATGCAACAATTGGGGAACGAAACATTGTTATCGAATGGTGAACTCGCGTTAAGAAATTAAGTTCTTTCTAAGATTGTTCCAATCTCCATAAATCGAATAGAGGTAAACAAGTATCTGTTCAGAAGAACTGAATTGTTGTTTCGACCAATTAACCTGAAACGTTTTCATAGTTCATCGTAAAAAACCTGGGAAGATGAATAATTTTTTAAACAAAATCACAATATTTAGAACAGAACGAATGTTTTTATATTTTATTTGTTTTTATATTTATGTTTTTTTTCTCTCTCGGCTTTACATTTTTTTTCGACATTTTTTACATTTTTTTTTATCAATAATAAATAAATAAATTGATTTTTAAAATTCTTGAAATAATTTTGATTAATTTTTTTCAGTTTCGGATAAATAAATATATATAACGACACATTTAATCAAAATATTTTATCAGATGCCTACTGAATATTCTAATTACGAAGAATTTAATTTATCTAATTTACATATAATTCTAAATTTATCTATATACATTACACAATCGCAAAATTTCACGTGTAAACACACGAATGCAGAGAAGTTATTTTGATCTGAAATTTACGAAACATACACGCATTTGACAATCGACCTAAAACCTGATTCGTGTTCCTCGATTCCTCTATTCACCATGTCGATTGTTTCAACATCCTGGATTTAGTTTGAAGAACGAACAAATAAAACAGATCCGTTCTACACAACTCTATATATTCGAATATAAATGTTATAAACTTGTATAAATGATTTTCATCGAGTTCACTTGAAAATATCATGCAATTTCATGTTCCTGTATTTTTGTTCCTATACAAGTTCATAAGACATGATATTGAATGTAGTGCGCGCGTGGTCGTTGTGCATAATTTCCTGTTACATCGCATAATTTATTTTGACACGCATTCAAAGTTTTCCATAAAAGATATGCACGATTATTGTGGGTGTACTTAAAAGAAAATAAAATTTGTTTCGAATAGCCGAATGTGGAATCAAAAATTTAATAGAAAATGAAATGGAAATAATATTTATATGTAAAAGTAATGATTGGATGAGAAAGCAAGGATGATAATAATGTTCATAATGTTTTGCAGATACGAAGGTTAATTATTAAATGGATAATTAATGTGTACTTATATGGATTTAAGTATTCACAATTTTTTGTACAGTTTAAAAAATACTGGTTATAATATCCGGTTAAAATAACGAGAATTTTTAAATTTAGAATTTTTTGATTTCCATGGATATTCCATGAAAATTGAAATTGGAGAGCTCTTTTCGAGATTATTCGACAAAGGATTGAATCAATAATCGATTTTATCTGCTAGAATATTAAAAGAAAGAGCATGAATTTATTGAAAAATTTTATGAAAATTTAATGATATATTTAATTCTACAATTCTCGTGAAGAAGATTATAGAAAGAATACTATTCTTCCATCAATAATTTATATTTAAAGTTTCGAAATTTTCATTAATACATTTAGTGCCTTGATTGTCTCGTTAATCACTTTGCTTCGCTACTGCCATTTCAATGAACGATATTTCACTCTAATATATCATTCTTAAAATTTCATTTCTGTCAACGTGATTTATTATGAAAAATCATATTCTAAATTCCTTAAATCTTACATTCACGTGTACGTATTCTCTACGTTCTCGAACGATCGAGCCAAAAATTCTGATTAAATTCTAATAATTCACAATAATTATTCAAAAACAGGTCAAAAATATAACGACCCAAATAATATTAGAATAGGATAAATACTTTCTTTCTTGAATATTCAGAAAATATTCTGAAATTCGTCTAAAAATCGTAAATCTTTTTCATGGAAAAAATTCGAGCTACCAAAAGTACTAAATGAACAATGGCGTCACTAAATCATCCAAGCAAACTTTTACCACGGAGCTCAATTACTAAAATGGCCACCATTTACGCAAACATGTATCTCGCAAATT